ATCTTCAAAAAAAAAAAGAAAAGTTGATATTAAGGAGTCTTTTGGGTTGATTGAGAACACAATTGTGGCCCAATAATAAAAATAATCCTCAAAAATACAACTAACCTAATAATTCTGCACATGGTGTGTGTGTATCAGTTAATGATTTAGGAAATACATTAATTGATGGTTCCCATAAAGTGAAAGTTTGTCTGTCAGACATGTTTGATCTTTGGACTATTAAGTTGAATTGTAAAAACTACCTTCTTGCCATTCGAATGCAGTGAATGGAAATGGAAGCAACAAGCAGAACAGCTATAGGTAATCACAGTAAGTGAATCGTAATATATTCAACCTGAAACTGTTACATGCAATCACTTAGGCATGCAACAATGCAGCTTGTGGTGATATGGTTTGTATTTTGACTTCTGTTTATGAAAAACTATATATATTGCTCTACATATTACATTTAACTAATTGTTCTTTTTAAATACATGTTTTTAAGGAAGTATGAAATGTGAAATGTCAACCTGTAGAGGAAAACTACTTTTCCTATGATATTAAATGGTAGTGGTATTGTTGACAGTATCCCACTGAAAAGTTTTGTTAAAAAACTGTAATGAAATCTTAAATGCTTATATAGGTTTTCAAATAAAAGTTTAAAGACAAGACTGTATTGAGTTGGTTTAATCTCATCTTAACTACATGGTAAAAATGAATACTGAGGTTTCAAAATATTTCAAGCTGCATTTTTTTTTTTGTTTCAGCTTGTACCGGCTGGCTTTTACACATGTTTTACAGAATATGGTTGGTAAAATGAATTTCAAATCTTTGTGGCTTTAAAAAACAGACAAAAAAATTATACAAACCCTTCCTTATAGTAATTATATATATATATATATATATATATATATATATATATATATATATATATATATATATATATATATATATATCTCCCACATTTTTTAGATAGATGTACTTTAAACTGGTATTTTGTCTCTCTCGGTGCTCTGTGTTACTGCATACAGTCCAAAGCCGATGTGTTTAACCTTAAGCCATGGCAAGCTGACTGAGCAAATTCTCTCTTTTTCAGGAGAAACCTCATCTCCTAACTCGGGGAATTGCCCACATACAGCTCGCTGTTGTGCAGTTGATACAGTGTTTTCACTCCTGCTCAGAAGCAGTGCTGATGCAGTTTGGGCAGTGAAACAAAGAGGATCAGGGGCACCAGAAAAGCCACTAAGAAGGTTTTACTCATCCAATCCACCCCCCAAATGAGGGTTTTTTTTTTTAAGCTGACAGTAGGACTGAAACAAGTAGCCTTCAAAGTGCAGTCTTACTTCTTTGATCTTTAGGCTCCTGCTGCTTTCTAGAACGTACTACAGAAATATGATAGCAGCAATCACGTTTTTCTTGGTTAAATAATATAAATTATTTTTTTTCCTTTTTTCTGTAAAACCATTGAAAACTCAGTTTAGTGACAGGCTGCTGGCTAGAATAAAGGTTTCTCATTAAATGCTGCTTAAAACTACAATTGACTTTCTTGCCTATTATCTATTTTTCTATTCTCAAGAGAAATGAATATTATGTGTATCTGTTGCATACACCTCAATTGAAAGCCTTAATTATTATTTTTTTTTTTTATTTGAATTTATTTTCCAATCTGTAACGAAATGTTAAAATATGGCACTACAACAATAGTTGCAACGCTATACTTAGGGGAATACTCTAATCCTTTTCCTCGGTTACTTATCTAAGTGGATGTCAATTCACAGCATCAAAGTGTTCCACCAGGGCCTGAGCACCAAATAAAAAAAAACCTAAATGCAGTTTTTCTCTCCAGGTTGAATTGGCTTTTTTATAGTTCTTTTTTTGTGAGGCTGTGGTCCAAGATTTGACAAGCATCATCCGAGCGTCCTTCCATTGCGTAATGATGTCCTAAAATGTGAAAGCTTCCAGCATTCAGCTTAGCAGTCTATAGTAACTATGCTACTAACAATATCGTTGTCACTGTTTACCCCACAAAAGGTGAAAAAGGAGGAGCTAGGATAAAGACCTAAAATTTTGTGGTATTTAAATTCAGGGCAGCTCAAACAATGCAGAGAAGATGAAAGTTGCTAATAAAGCAATTTGAGCAACCCTAGTACTTCGACAGTTTAATTTGCTGACCACCCAGAATTTGATGCAGTAATTAATGCAAAAGAGGCTCTGATCAAATGCCTAAATGCTTATTATGTACATCACATAAATATCAGTGTTTAAGTAGGCTAACATTTCTTCATGATGAAAATGTTTTTAATTGTAATATATAACATTTTACAAATAAGACTAAAGTTAGATTTTCAATGTAGAGTTCAATCCAAATTCAGACTTAACAGAAATAAACAGCCAAAACATTCTGAGAGGAAGATATATGCAAGTTACAGTTTTTTAATTGAAACACTGAAATAAATAACGTGTTCAATGATATTCTATTTCGTTGAGATTGTCACAGTGGGGGTGGAGGTTTGACAGGACCCAAATGCAGACACAAAAAGCTGAAGTGTTTTCTTGAATTTTTAATTAACCAAAAAGCTCAACAGAAGCAAAAATCCAAAACATAAATCCATAAAAGCCACAAAAACTGAGAACCAGGAATACTTACAAAAAGGAGACAAAGAAATGACGATAAACCAGCAAAGAGTGACTGAACAGGAGGAGAATATATGGCAGAGAGAAACAAAGACCAGGCTAATTAGCCGATTGGGAGCAGGTGTGAACAGAGGCAGGAAGGGTGCTAGGGAAAAGGAGTCTGACACAAGAGGGCAAACAAGAAATATCTAAGAACTCAAATACAATCAAAAACAACTAGAACACAAAATTGGAAATAAGACCAGTGAGAACTCAGAGATAAAACTTGACCAGAACCAAAACCATGACAGAGATATAGCGATATATTGGTACCCTGGTCATTTTAGGTCTCTTAGGAAATCGTAGGCTACGTTCACAGTCACACTACAGCCTGAAGTGACCCTGATCCAATTTTTTGGCCCATATGCGGCCTGTATCTGATCTTTTCATGGCTGTCTGAACAACACAGATCTGATTTTTTCCCCAATGTGACCCAGGCCACTTAGCTATGTGGTCCTGAATCCGATACAAATTGGATTTTTTTCAAATGCGACCTGTTTCTGAATGGCCAGGTCGCATTCATCCAACCTGAACGCCATTAATACCCAACAAAGGTCACTATTCTGGGTCTTGCTATGAAGAAGCTGCAAGAAAAGAACAACCAAGATGCGGAGAGCAGTATTTATGTTTAACCATCTTGAAAAGATTGTGTTTTTATGGTTGGAAAAGATCTCTAGATGTGCTCTGGCACTACCATCCATGTTTACTTCTGTAAACACAGAGCATGCTGGCCTGTGACGTCATTGCGTCCTCTACGGCCTCTACTTAAAAACCATGATAATACAATACAAAAAATACAATTTACAACATCTGTTTAATTAGTGAAATAATATGTCAGGAAAGAGTTTAGGTCCATCTAACTTGAACAAATCCTGCTTTTTGTGATAACAAGAGTTTTTTTTTTATCTGGAGTTTGAATAAAGACATCCCCGCGGCAAATTGTTTGTTCTGCACCTTTCTTCTTTGCACAACTGACCAACATATTTCAGCAGATTTTATTTTATTTTTTGTGATTCCATTTTCTTAAAGATGTGATGCTACAGATCTGGGTGTAATCTACATAAATATGCAGAATAATACATGGAATTTCATCAAAATGCATGCATAATACATCAATTAAATTAAGGCTTATTGTAATTGTGCAGGGGTACATTATTTGGTTGACAGTTCTGTTTTACTTTTGGATTTCAATTCAAAAAAATAAAAAACCTTAACCTCAGATTTACATATCTTAACTGCAAAGTGTTTTTAGACATTTCCCCATTTCTCTTTTTTAGGGATTGTTTCATTTCTGGTGAAACATTTTATGGTGTAAAATCAAATAAAACAAAAGACAGCATCTAGATGTCATACTGACTGAAATTAGTTTTATTTTCAAAATAAACTTAACTACTCCAATCAGTTTTTACCTAATCAAAATGAATTAAAAACTAGGTAATATGGTTTTATAAGGTTATTGTTATATTGATGGGGGTTCTAAGGTGTGTAACGATCAGTGACTTTTAAAGTAAGAGAGAGAAACTACAATGAGAGTGAATGCTTCTGTTATGTTGAGTACAATTTAAGAGCCAACAACAGAGAAATGTCACAAATCCAGTGGTTCCCAATCTTTTCTGTCTGGCCCCCCTTTAGTGCACAGGGAAGTTTTCACACACCACTCTACTTGAAATAAACTTTAACCCTCAAATAACTTTTTAGCAGTTGAAGAAAGATAAGTCATGTGCAGTGTATTAAGCGTTGCAATTAAATAAACATTCTCCTTAAAGTCCCAACACTACTACCTTTAGAATCTTGTTATTTCTATTTAAACTCTTTATTTTACTGTAAAACAAATTTCCACTTTGCAATCAGTACATTTGCTAAAAAAAATACATCTTAATTTATTCCAGTCATTTCTCAATGCCCCCGTGCAATCACACCAGGACCCCCCTATGGGGTCTGCCCCTATTTAGGGAACCACTGAACTAAGCAACGTTTGTATTTTTCTTGTCAATCTAATCAAAATAATTCTGTTTATTTGAGTTGCTCTATTTCACAACAAATGTCTTTAGGGCACCTTGCGAGACAAGCAGTTCAAATGTATGTGCAGAAAATTTGTAAGTTCAACACAATCATGTAGTTTATTTCCAATTTATTCTAGTTTAAAACAATCTAGTCAAAAAAAGATTTTTTAAAAATAACTATATTTAATACTATAGAATATACAATATTAGATGTATTTTTAATCCAATTAACTGTTTATGTTTATAAAAGCTTTAGATTTGATTTTAAGATGTTAGCATGTTCATTTAAATGAAATATGCTATTATTCCTTTCTAATTTCTGCATTGTGATTTTTTTTTCTGCAGAGATCGGAAAGTGTGAAGGGGATGAGCTGAAAAAAGATAGTGACACGAAAAAATACCTTGACATTATCAGCAATAAAAACATCAAGCTTTCTGAAAGGGTTCTTATACCTGTCCAACAGTATCCAAAGGTAAGGAAGTGCTGCTTTGAATCACTAAGACACTGAAGCTCTAAAACCAATGCTGTGTTATATTTTGCTGTGATACGATCGGTTAATTGCTGGATGACTTTAAATGTGGCCTTTCATGTTTGGCTGGTCTTTCCCACAAACACTAACATTTAAAAATCCCTCTGAGCTGGAAACTGCCATGGCTCCTTAATGACGTCTGTTTATTTAGATGTAGTCATCAAAACTCCAAGTTTTCAGTACACTAAAGCACCCAAGGGTACAGTGAAGAACAGTGGTCATAAATCACTGTGACACAGCGCTCAGGATTCTGAGTAACGCAATGCTGGTACTGGTAAAGTCTGAAACGTAGCCTAATGAGACTTCTCCAGCAGGCAGTTTAGCAACATGGAGCAGTTTGAGCAAAAGCGAAAAGCTTTACTTCCACTGTAATCATAGAAAGCACCAGTTCCAATCACAGATTCATGCACAAGGTATGAATATATTTCACGCTTTGTGTTATTCATTTTTCACTGTCTTTGATTCTGGGCTGTATCATTAGTTACATCCTTATGTTTTGCTGCACTGTCTATAATTAGAGTTATCACTCATTACATCCATCAATATGAGCGGGGAAAAAAAGATCTGAGAATTTTAATTATAAGATATTAATTATTTATATTAGGTTCTGTGTGTTATGTGTATGTCTGAAATTAAAAAAACAACAACGTTGGAACAGAAAATCAAAAATTAGATCTGATGTAAGTGGGCTGAACTTCCCTTTAATTAATCAGACTCCATTGTAAAAGATTTTGTGTCTTACTTATGGTTGGTAATTTCTTTAAGCTTTGGACTACAATTAAAGGTTTTATTGAATGAAAATCTCTCTTTTTTTAACTAAATAACATTTTTACTTTTTAGCTCTGAAATGTTTCAACATGAAAAGCTGTCCATTTCTCTGCAACAAGGAATATCTACAAACTTAGTGCAATGTAAAGCCATGTCAAAATAATTACAACCTACTTTTTTATAGAGGCTATTTCTTCAAACCTCGAAACTTACATTAAAAGGTTAACATATTAATCAATATTGTTTCTGCAAGATCCATACTAAATAAATCCCACCTGTGTTCAACTTAGTATGAAAAAGCTTTTTATTTTCATATGCTTTGCATTTAAAGGTATAGTGGACTTTTTTTTTCTGGATCAAAGACCACCTTAAAAACAGACCTCAGCTTGTGAGACTAAAGGGTCCAGTGCCTAATTATGCCAACAGCACTGGAGCAGCACAGGGAATTCTCACCATGGCTTTTTATTCTGTACACCTCCAACTCTATAAGACAGAGTCTTGTCATCCACAGAAGCAATTCGATCTTGCTGCACTTATTGGGTGCATCAGAGAGGGACAAGAAGCCGAGTACAGGAAGCTGGTGAACTGCTTTGTGGCATGGTGTGGAAAGAATCCTCTTATCCTGAAAGTAAACAACACAAAGGAGAAGATTGCAGATTTCAGAAAAAAAAACAGGAACCACTTTACTGCTATTACCATCAAGTTATGGTATTCCATAAGCAGAGGAGGTGGAATGCATGTATATATATATATACAGTATATACATGCTCTTCAACTGGACAGCACAATCAATTGGAGATGCATCTGGTAATCTGTCTACCAGAAGGGACAGTTAAATTATATTGGATTGAATTGAATTCAATACATCAAAACAGGAAGTGAGTGGCGAGTGGAAACTGGCAATGAATGAGCACATACAGTGGCGTTAAGTGAACACGTCACAAAGATTGCCATGTTGACCAACCAATAGATACAGTAAGATAATCACTCTGGAAGTTGAAGCCCAAAAAATCTGCCATACTTTGATAGATATCGTCATTACCAATCATCATTTCAATATAGAAAAGGTCATATTGCAATCTGAAAATACTACCTGGAAGTGATATTTGCTATAAATTCATATTTTAATCTTAAAGCATACAAATACTCCATGCCCATAACATTTTTAACTAATTGGATTGATTTTTAATGTCCACAGTGCCAAGATTTGATGTGTAGTTTTAGCGGTTGGGTTGTTAAAGCTGAAGGTGTGGTTGATACATAGTAAAGAGGAAGGAAACATTGGGGGTAGTCATATTTGGTATCATCAAAGTAATTCTCTTCTTTAGTATTTCCAAATAGGAGCTTCAAGCAAATGTTTTAATATGAACAGAGCAGCTTCACCCTCATCACTTTAGTTTCTTGTAACTTTTTGTGTACCTATAACTGATCCTGTAGTTTGTTCACTGATTGGGACAAAGATCAGATTTTTAGATTCCGATCATCGGATCTCCTATGCATGAATGCATTAAATCAGCTGGGCAATTTCTCTTTGCATCTTTATTTTTTATCAAACGTATTACTTTGTTCTACAGGATGTGGTTCTGACTCAATGTAATGTGCCACAAATGATAAAACCAAAAGGGAAATAATACTTTTATAATCTCTAAAATGAGTACTTGAAAAAGTAACAAATCGAGAAATGCAAGGTCTGATTCACAAAAAGAAAGAACTGAAACAGAACTAAAACATGGCTGTCAGTGAGATTGCAGGCCATCACATTGATCATTGGGGATTGACAATATGAGAAGTAAATATTTAAAAATATTTTTATTAACCTAAAAATATACATCATTCTCTATAAAGCAGTTTTCTAATCATATCCCTGTATTATTTTTCTTTATTTAAATCTTGTAGTAGATACTGAATTAAATATATTACACAAATCAAATGCATTTTAATAGAAAAAAAAATGCTTGACCACCAGCTCGAAATAACAATGCATCTGGTTCTTTGGTAATTTAAGTGTGAACATTTGGAGTTGATAACTGAGTGAGCGGCATTGTGTGACTGTTCAAACTTTAAATCTATTTGAGCTTCATTAAAATTGTAAGCCATGCGGACCCGCTCTTCAGTCAGGCTGATTTAGATAAGTTCACTGGTTGAATTGCTTAGGGTAATTATTTGAATCTGAAAATGCATTTAGTTTGATTAACAGTTGCTGGTTGTAGATTTAAAACTATTAATTTGCTGCTCCAAAAAAGCATTATGTTGCTTTTACAGAGCAGTCTGCTGGTCTGTATTTCATTCAGAATTAGACCTTGGACTGTGCAATTTCACTGAAATCTAAATCACAAACTTCTAAACCTCAATTGAGAATATCCTCTCTACCAAAATAAAGCACGTTTATTATTTAAATATTACATCAGACCAATTTATACAACAGCAAAAACATTGAATACATAAATTCCAGACTGAATGTGTAATAACTACAGTGTTTGAAAAGTAACTGATATCATGGATTAGTTTCTTCCACTCCTGAGAATCATTGCCATTTAGATATTTCTTCATTCTGCAATGAAAAAAAAAAAAATTCTCAGTCTATCTTTAAAACATTTTCACTTGGAGAGTCTTAAAGGACCTGTGGTAACAGTTTTCTGTTACATAAAAACCTCACTGTTGTAAAAGTAATAAAGCATTCTAAGTAATTTGTATTGACTTTTTGTTTCTACACTATTTATTCTTAAATGCCAGTCTGCTTCCTCTTAAAGAAGACGGTGAACTGCAAATGTTCATGTAAATCCCATAAAGTATGTTTAAAAGTATGGCGAAATGCATACTAAGAATACACACATTTTTGAACAGAACATACATATGATATTCTTTTTTAGCCATTTACATCTTAGATGACATTTTTCTAACTAATGAAAAGTGTGCAGCTTGCAAAGAACAGCAAGGCACATAAATGGTGGGTTTATAAAATCACAAAAGAAAGAAATGCCAAATGGAAAAACACTGACTTAAAATGATGCTCCCTTAGATTCAATTGGATTTTTTTTGTCTCTCTATATTAGATAAAGCTGCAATCTATAGGGACGGAGGAGTTGTCCAACAGCTTCTGTGGCTTAATCGCACAGTCAGCTCTTCCTATTACTGCTGTGTTCCTGTCTGAAACATCTTCTACTTTCAGTTAATTATAATTGTCAGCATAATAATGCAGCTCCTTGAAAAGCACCCATCACAAAAAAACTAAATAAAGAAGAAAAAAAATGTTGACCTTGTGACATATTATCAAGTTTTAAAGAATTTTCTTTACAAAGAATTAATAATGTATGAATCAAAAAATAGTTTTTAGATCAAAGTGATCACTAGATTTATGTCTCAGCTCCAAGATCTACTTTACTTTGGCAACATTAGGCACCATGATGCAAGAGCAACCCACAGCAAATGGCTTTCTTCTACTCTGATGTAAAATATGTTTGTTATTTTCATTTTTTTTTCATTTCTGTTAATAAATCATATACTTAATGACTATCTGTCGCTGCTGGCAAAATAGTGGCGAAAAGCAAACCATTTGTTTAACCAGCCATATAACAATGCTGGTCCAGGCATGCAGCTGCAATCTCACTGCAGAGTAATTAAATGCAAGATAATTAAGTTGTTGCTTAAAAAGTCATCTGCATGACTTAATATTAAGAAAAAAAAAACAGTCATGAAAAATCAATGTGACTAATCTATGACTTAAGTAAAAAAAAAATCTAAATATCTCTTTATGGCACATAAGGAGATGCAGGTTGCTCCCGCTGTCGACATATGAGAGCAGAGGGAGTTCTGGTGTTATAGTGAAGGCAGCTGTTATCAGTCTTCACCCTTTGCTTCATAGTCCCAATTTGTGCTGATTACATAAAGTCTTGGTCCTCAATGTTCCAACCTTGGTTTTCTATTTTTCATCTACTGTATATAGTCAATGCAATCTAAAGTGAAGCTGCTCATTTAGGACATGTGGAATTTTATTCAGGTTTCAGAGCTCTAAGACACCATACCTACCTCCAGCAGAAGTATTGCTCAAATGTAATCCAATAACCTGATAATATGTCAGGTTATTGGATTGTATCAGTGATTCTGAATGAAGAGCTGTCTGACTTTAACCTTTTTTATTCTTTGTCTTAGGTAATTATTATGGTATATTTATTTAC